GGCTCTTGCCAGGATGAAGCTGCCTTGGTATCAGCATCTTGTAGCTGTATCTGCATCAGGGGACAACATAGCTGCATCGGTGTGAATGACTTTGCTGGAGATGGGTCCAAGTTTCCATAGATTGGGGCCAAGAAGAAATGAGATGAGCAGGGCACCCAAGCACTAACAGCAAAGGTGATGGAACCTAGAGGCCTGGGCGATGAACCGTTAGCTCTAGCTGCTCCAGACTATTGATTTTGTTATATCTGCTCCCAGATCAGACTGGATTGCAGCTCCACACAGGAGAGTCTTTGCTTGAGAGGAGATTTGGAAGGACATTTGCTCCAAGGACAAAGCAATTTGAGCAGGGATTTGCACAGGGATTTGAGCACCTATGTGGTGAACGCTGACCTTAATGCCAGAGATGCATCTGAAAAATTAAAAAAAATTCAAAGGGTGATTGAAGTGTTGTGATAAATTCCAGTTGGTGCATATCTTCACATCTTGCATGATGTCCCCGCAGAGGTACAGCAGCTGAGCTGCTTTGGCCTTGGGTGCATTCACACTGGGTCACATTTTGGCACTTTAGGGCCCAGGTGAGCTATAGGTTTTCAGGTAGGAAAAGACAAGGTTGATAACATCTGCTCTCCTGACCTGCCCCAGCCAGGAACCTCCTCTTGTGATTGCTACCAGCAGCTCCTCTGCTCCAGCTGCTTTCCTTCAGAGAGCTGGCTATGGCTCTAGGCTCAATTTTGCTTCTAGACAGGAGTGATCATCTGCAGTTACTGGAGGGGTTAAAAAGGTTAGACAGCAGTGCTGCAGAAGAGGGTCTCCATGTGTCACCATCACACTGACTATGGTCTGCGAGACACCAGAAACTCTTCAGCAGCAGCCAGGGCTTTGGATACATAAATAAAGCAGAAGACAAGAAAGAGAGCAAGTGGTTTGGGCTACTGACAGGGACAAGAAGCAGTAAGTGAATATTCAGCTTGGTTTTCCCTTGTTGTAACACAAAAGAAACACCCTGGCAGGAGGTGATGAAGCTCTGAACCAGATGGTATCACACGCATGTGGAACCCTCCTCTTCCTCCACTGAGCTTTTGGGGTAGATTGAACAGGCCTTGGCCAGGAATGCTGTAGGTAATGTCGGCATTGCCTGGGGCCGTAGGGCAGCCTGGGTGTTTTCTCAAGGAGATCTGCAGCTCTTAGTTCTACAAGAGCTAGGACTTTCCTATAGGAGTTGACCCCAAATCCATGAATTTGAGCCAACCCTATTCAACCAGAAGAGTCAAGGCTGCTAGAACAAGGGTTCGGGCAAGCTGAAGGCCCTCAGCGTGGCGATGACAATGAGGCAGCACATTGCATGCACCAGAGATGGCAGCTGAAGCACCAAAACCCAACCTTCTCCTGGGCAGCAGCTCCTGAGCCCTCAGTCCTTGGGCCAGACTTACTCCTTGAAGGCAACCGTTATCCCAGTATTTACTAGGGAAACAACCAAAGGCCATTGGTAGTTGACAGTCCATCACACTACACAGGTGTAGATACACACATGAGAATGGAGAGAGCAAATAGGAGCAGCCTGGGGACACAGCCGGAGCTACCACGAGTCATAACCAGCTTTACACCAATGACACCCACTACCATATCTGCCACCACACAGCCCAGCAACTCCCCCAAAAGCTAATGGTGGTCCACCAGCCCAGGCAGCCACAGGTGGTGGCTCAGCGGCAGGCAGACCTGTCACCACTTCCCACTGCAAACCCACTGAAGAGGCATTTCACAACCTTCAGCTCACGCCAGCATCACGAGGTGATGAGGGCCAGATCCCTCTGGAAGGATCCGTCTCTTTTCCTGCCTCCTGCCCATGCTCCTGGGAGGAGAAGCTCAAGAGCTGGAAAGGCTGCTGCAGGGAGCATGTTCCAGTACTGCCAGGAGCTGGCAGCACTTAGCTGGGACTGAGAACCCCTACACGGGAAGGTGGGTGAGCAGGCACTGCCACGCACCCCAACCATCCCCATGGCTGGATTTGAAGCTGCAGGCAGAAGGCTGGAGAACCTGGAGAAATCTCTGTGCACAGGGGGACTGGCTTATGAAGGGTCTCCATGGAGACTCCAGAAACAAGTCACTCAGTGCCACCACCTAACACAGCATCACCGGGGAATGCTGCTGGTGTCCAAGCTTGACATTTCCCCAGGACTTGGAACAACAGTCACCTTTCCTCCTCTCCCGTTTCTTGGCCAAATCTGGTACAAAGAGGTATCCAGCTGCCCAGCAGCCCCCAGGCAGCCTGGGGTGTTGGAGCAAAGAGGCTTCTCTGGCAGGACAGTTCCCTCTGGACCTCTGGGGACTATTCACTTGCTAGCAGGGCTACTCCACAAATATTTATCAAGGCGGGTGTGTGCAAGCACCCTCCCTCCTGCACCCCTTCCCAGGGCACACAGGTAACCAGCCCAATGGTGGTCCAAGCCCACCTACTGCTCTCAGTGCTGGCAGCTACCAGCCCAGGTAGGACGCTCCGTTAAACAATGTGAATAAATACTTTATTTACCAAAACCATGTTAAAATACTCCTAAGTCTGTCCCATCTTGCCAGCTCCCTTCAGTAGCAGCTCACAGCTTGAGGATCCTGGAGGAGGCTTGGAGAGCTCACGCAGCAGCACCAACTTCATGGCCAGCAGGACCTCCCGGTGACCAAGGTGGCTTCTTCTGCTGCAGCGGCACAGCCGGGCAGCCTCCAGCGCCACGTCCCCGAGCAGCCGGGGGCTGCCCAGCCAGGCAAAGGCAGCAGCCGCCAGGCAGGAGGCTCTGGTGGACCACGTCTGCAGGGAGAGTGACCATCAGAGCATCAGCTCAGCCATCCGTGGGGTGGCATGGCTCGAGGAGCTGCCTGCAGGCATGAGTCAGGCAGAGCTCCCCCAGCCCCATCCACCACATCTTCAGTTTAAGTCAAAAACTTCCAGATTCAGCTGACACATGAGCATCCAGGCTTGAATACGCAGATGACCAAGCTGAGCCTAGGAAGCAGGTGGTTGCACCCAAGCCCAGTCAGAACATACCTGGTTTAGGAGCTTGCGGATGTAGGTGAAATAAGCCACCTTCTTCTTCTGCCTGCGGGGACGGAGGCAGAGGAGGCTCTGCCAGGCGTGCCCAGCTGCTGCCTTCTTCCTTGGGAGGGCAGGGGGGTCAGGCTCCATCGCTGCCCGCACACGGCGCTGGTTCAACACACACTTGCTACAGCCCCAATGCCTCTGCTAAGGGAGAGCAGAGCCCCAGGACCAGCCCCAGCAGCAGGGTGCTGCCTTCACGCCGGTCACCTCCACCTTACCCTCCATTTCCCAAGGCATTTGCAGGCATTTAATTAGCATCCTGCAATTAGGCACTTGCAATAACACAAAAAGCATTCAGCATGTTGCATAAAACAAGACCAGAACACACGCACCCCCCAGAGCCAAACACACCAGAAAAGCAAAGCATAACATAGGGTATTTTGAGGGTTGGGTTTTTTTGTTTGTTTTTTTTTTCTGGTGTGTGTGGGGTTTTTTTGTTTGTTCCCCCCCAGCTTACCTCCAAGAGCTCCCCCAGCCCTGTCCTGCCCCAGGAGCAGGCAGGGAGCCAGAAACCCCTGCCTATAACCAGGAGGGTTTATTGCTTTCAGCTGGGGGCTGTGGCCCATTGGGACCCACCAGGGATGGGGACAGGGACAAGGACAGAGACGGCCACGCCACCTCACACCTGCACCCCCTGGCTCCTGCACCCAAACCAGCAATTCTTGCCCCAAATGCTCTTTTGGGTGACGTTGTGCTTACTCCCAGGTTCCCCCTACCCTTGTTGCCCTAATTAGCGTCATTAAGCTAATTAGCCCGAGGTTCTGCAGTGGTACGAGGCCTCAGGGGGCCTGGGTGTTCCTGTGGGATTTTTTTGCGTGGTTTTATTCTGCATTGATTTGGGGGGTTTCGGGGGGTTCTGTAAGTGCCAGAGTGAGCAGGTCTGGGAAGGCACCCAGGGGTGCTGGGGGCAGGATCTGGCCCTGCCCAGTGGGACCCTGGGGTGAATGGGTGTCCCCTGGGTGCAGGATCTGGCCCTGCCTGGTGGCATCCTGTGGTGGGGGTTCTCTGGGTGCAGGACCACGTTCTGGGGTGCAAAGCATTGGGGTACAGCAAAAGGGGGCCAATGGATGCAGGATGTGGCCCCATCCTCAGGGGGATGAGCGTGTGTGTGGGTTCCCTGGGGTGCAGCACCCCACCCTGCAGGGTGTTTGTGTGGGGGTGCTGGGGTGCAGCGTCTGGCCCTGCAGGATTCGGGGGGTGTAGGGGGGTGTCCTTCCATGCAGCCCTGCAGGACACTGTGGAGAGGGGCAGGGGTTCCTCGGGTGCAGGATCTGGCCCTGCTGCACCCTGGGGTGGGTTTGTGGGTGGGGAGGGTGTCCCCCTTGGTGCAGGATCCAGCCCTGCCCTGCAGCACCCTGGGTGGAGAGTCCACAGGGTGCAGGATGTGGCCGGGCAGCACCCCGAGGTTGTGTCTCCCCTCAGTGCAGGATCCCGCCCTGAAGCACCCTGAGGGGTGTGTGTGTGTGTCTTCCCAGGTGCAGGATGTGACCCCACAGCACCCTGTGGGGGCTCCTCTTGGTGCAGAATACCACCCTGCTGGGGAAAGGAGGGCTCCCCTGGCTGAAGGACACCCCCTCCCCCCGCAGCACCCTGGCATAGAGGCTTCCCCCAGGTGCAGGATGCGGCCCTGCAGCCCATTGTTTTGGGGGGGGGTGTGCGGGTGTTTCTCTGGGTGCAGGATGCGCCCCCCGCCCCGTTCTGAGGGGGGTGTGTGTGTCCCCCACAGGTGCAGTACGCATCTTTCGCCAGCAGAGGGCGCTCTTGCTCCCTCCCGCGCTGGGCGAAGGGCGGGGCCGGCCCGGAGGGGCGTTGCTGTGTTCTCTCCGCTGGCCAGCAGGGGGCGCCGCCCGGTGCCCGCCTCG